AGCACATTCCAAGAGCTCCCGATCCCGGCCTCATGACAAGCTGTTTATGTGGCACTAATGTGCTGACGTTCCTCAAAAGACTTGGAGCAGCACAGCTGCTGCCACTCAGCAGAGGAAGTTTTGGGGAAGGTTTCTTTCCAATTTGCATAATTCAAGGTAGATACTGGGAGCAGAGCTACGTGTACGGGGTGTTCCAGCAGTGTGCATCGGCATATAGCTCGTGTTAACTCTTCGCACAGAATGGTTTAACTACTATGCTCAAGACATTAGTGTCTACTTGGAATTGTGAGAGCTGCGCAGGCTTTTTGTTTCGTTTTGTTTTCTCTAATCTTGAGGGAAATTGCTTTGAAGGTAGCTTTCTCTCTGATAAGCAAAGTCTTACCCTTGAAATGACTTCATATCTCTACAGGTCTGTGTAGCCAAGGATCTTTTATTGACTATGTACCAGTCGAGCTGAGGACACACCCCCTCCTAAATAGTATACAAGTCCTAGGAATTTTTATGTTTTGCAGATCAAAAAATTGAGGTCAGGTAAAACTAGACAACATACCCAAAACATGGTGTTAATCTTTGGCGGGTCTCAGATTTGAATCCCGTCTATTCCCCACTGTCTTAATCATGACATTATTTTGCCTACCCGAGGAGCAGCATGCCTGAAGGCACTTACTCCCTTCCACAGCCAGTGTTCATAATGCGTGTTTGTGTGTCCAAAATTTCCATGGCTTGGAATTATTAAATCACGTAGAAGAAAATTTTAGAGGACCAACTACACTTCAGGTATGCTAGAAACTGACTAGATTTTAATATTGACTGTCACAACCTACTAGTTCTGTGTTAGTCTCAGCTGGTCAGAGCTAAGTTTCCTTAATGACAAGTTGAACTTCTGACCATAATTCTAGCTTTGAAGAGAACATTCCACTAGTTCTATTTAAGCTTTACTTCTCAGATTCAGGTAGGACTGAGCTAACAAGAGGGACTCTGGAACAGAAAACTGCAGCTCTACATGGGAATTTGAACTTCTGGCTCAGGTTTGTTAAAGTCTGGTATCATGAGGGTTCTGAAAAATTCATGTCCCTCTTCAGTATATGATGAAACCATCTGTAAGTTCTGTGGCATATCAGTCCACCAGTTTAGCCTCATGGGCAGATAGAAAAAAGTTCCTTTTAGATTTTCAGAAATGTGGCATGTGTTGGTGCCTCCTCATTAAGAATGCTGTTCATGAAATCAAATGAGTTTGTTGACATCGCAATTTTTTTCTTCCCTGGATGTTCAGTTCGAGACAGTGTAATAAATAGGAAAGGGTGCAAATCACAGATGTGTGGGAGTTTGTGTTGGCATAACTGGAGACTCACAAAAACACATGCAAGTGTGTGTCAAGTGTAGGCTTGTGATAACATCCCTGTGTGGCTTACAGAATGGCTGACCACATGTGTTCCATTGGGTGGCGGGTCCCTCCTGCAAGCCCAGTAGCTACGGAGACACTCAGGGACGCTGTGACCCTGGGCACACACCCTGCCATCTGCTCTAACAGCAGCACTTCAAGTTCACTTGCTGATGGCTGACGAGTGGCATTGGTGTAGGCCTTCTCCCCTATGCCACACCAGCAATGTCATAGAGGAGGCAGGTGCAGTGGGATCGATTTCTCCCATGCAGGTGACTATGAACAGTCAGCAGGGGAGAAACAATCACTAGTAACAACCAATTATGGTTGAATGAAGATGAAGCACAGGTTATATTATGTAACCCTCATAGTAGCCATGAGTGGAAGCCAAGATGGCGGGGACAGCTTCACATCTTCCCAATGAAGGAGTGTGTTTCCAGAAGGGGGAATGACTGGCTTAGGCTCACATAGCTAGTGTGTTTTTGTAAATAGACCTCAGAATATGTTTTAGTTTGTTGACTTACGACCTTTTATGCCAGGCCCATTCCTTCTTTTGTTCTATTCATTCAGACACGTTTCTTCCACATCTGGTTTGTGCTAGGTACTGGAGACTTAGCCAGGAAAAGAGATCCCTATCTTTAAGGAGCTTGTGGGTTAATGAAGATGAGCAGGTAATCATAGAAATCAAAAACTGCTGGGCTCCATATTGTTTTATGTAGCTAATATTTTTTTTTCTTAAAAATTAAAATTATTCTGAGAATAGGAAGATTTAACTTAAAACTCCAGTTGTCTGGGTTCTGGCAATGAACTGGCTGATCTGACTAAGTTGCCTGCACACTCCCTGGGGCTGAATAGAGCCAATCCGAGCCTCCCACAAGTCCCTCCTTGGGCTCGGCAGTGGTTGAATTTGGGCTCCCGTGTGACAGTGGTGATGAAAGGGGACTGAGTTCTGGGAGGGACCCTTGACACACACACACCCCCCATATCAACAGAGTGGGACAGGAGGAAGACAAAGCAAAGGAAGGCTTCATGGGGGAAAGCAAGTTTGACTAATTTTTATAGGACAGAGAATATCCAAATGCTTAGGGCAGAGCAGTATGCTCAGTATTGCCAGAGGGAAAATGCCATCAAACTACCTATTCATGCAAAATGAAATCCACTTTTATGGGAACTCTGCCTGTACAAAAGTCCTGGGTCAGGCCAGCCCTTCTGTAGGTTATGTGAGGGAGAGAGTGGAAATCAAAAGGTAATGTTTATATTCAACTTTTCTCAAATCTAGAAAAATCTGAGCTTCCCAGTCATGCTTTCTGGTGACTTAATGTGATTACCATTATCTTTTCTGCAAACAGAAAGCTTCGGGAACCACAGATACTCCGGGCATCATTTTTTCTTTTAAAACTGGTGACTATGTCACTCATCTTTCTGGAGCGCGGCTCTGTGGTCATATTTCAAGTGTTTGTTTTTTTTTAATCATTAGGAATCATTTTTATAATTTAGCTCTCCAAAGCCTGACAATGTATCAAACTGGGGGGCTAGAGTAAAAGTATCTTTCATGATGCCAAAATATGGCTTGCCCCAGAGGATTTGAGTTTGTGATGACACTTTAGTATTAAACTGTCTTGCTTTGAGATGCTGACAGGCATGGGGGTGGGGAGCCTCTGAGGGCCCCAGCTCTTCCTGGAGGTCGGCATCTTTTTTCTTTCTCTGTGCAGCTGTTATGGGGAGGTTCGGGTCACATGACAGCAAATGCTGCCGATCCCAGGCAACTTTTTGCTCAATAACTGTTTCCCAAATGGCTACTGGGGGCCTTTCAGAATTCACTAGAGCTGTCAGTTGTTATAGTAACCGGCCCCCTGCTGCCGAGCTGGCCCTGAGATGCCAGTCGAAGCTCTTGGAACAGGCTAACACATAGTCATTAGACAAAAGCAGGGAGAGATGCACTGCTAAAGGTTGCCATTTAAACATACACCATGATCCTTAAAAGACAGAACCGATCCTGGTAAGGAAGGAGTGGTTGGATACATTTGTAAAGGGAACTCACTTTTCAGGAAAGGGAAACCCCTTTTTGCTTCTGTCTGTTCTGCAGAACCGACACCTTTCTTTGGGCTTCTCCGAATTAAATCTTCTCTCTCCCAGGGGTGACTGTGTCTGTTCTGTCGGTTGGCTCAGGTAGTCCCTTATTATTCGAGATATTAGTTATTGGTTTTATGGCATTTGCTTTTCAGCAAAGTGTTGTCAGTTCACGGGTGGTAGTTTTAAGCGCCTGTGATTGTGTGTGAGGAAAAACTGCAGAGATAGCCGGCTCTGCTCCAACATTCCTGAAAGAGTGAATCTGGCAGAATTCAGAGTAGGGCTAAGGGTTGAGAAGAAGTCTAAATATTTTAGGAAGCTGCAAATTTCAAGTTTTTATGAAAATTTGCAAAAACACTCCAACACACTCATGATTTCTTCAGATTAATGTTCATAGCCGCACTGAGTGTTTGTGATGTTTTGAGGACAGTTGATGTAGTTCCAGAATGTACTCAATAGAGGGAGACAGGAAGTTCTGAATTATACACACGCCTCTCTTTCATCCCCTCCCCCCAATTTTAAGTCGCATTCCCAAGTTTTAATTCCCATGCCAAACACTTTTACCCACTATGAAGTCATAATTATTAAAACAAATGAAAGCTTGTATTCGAGACAAATAATGTAACATTGAGAATTCAGAGTTTCATTCCTAGAGTAAAAAGCCACCAACTAAATCAGCAGATAATAAATGTTCTTTGGGTTTGTATGTCTGAATTCAGAGATGTACATGGGATTCAAAAGAGATTCCGTGTATCCATGATTATCTTTGCTGTTCTGTCAACAGTTTGGAAAGAATAGGAATCACTTCAGTGAGAAACCCTGTAGTCCAGGTGGTTTGAGGATTAACTGTAATTAAACACCTTCAGTGTGTGTGACAAGTCTTTCAAATGACTCCTAAGCCAGGTCAGAGATTATGGTTATTTAGGTTTTATGGGGCACTGAATACTGGACTTACTATGTAATAACCTGACCACAGCTAAGTCCACTTTCTTTTAGAGACCTTGCCTATGTAGTCCACAGTCTGTCTTGTAAATCAGGAGAGAGTGTGTACAGAGGTGAGAGGAATGCATGGGGAAAAGATAAAACCCTCGATTTGTCTAACAGCATCATATTCAGCGAAATTTGAGGCAGAAGGGAGGTCCAAATGGTACCCAGGGGGTCTCTGCCAAGTTCTGTTTATTCTGATGCTATTTCAAGCCATTCTGTTTGCCAGGGCAGCATGTCCAAGGTAGACGAAGAGGCACATGACTGGAAAGTTCATTATTAGGTTTGTGATATCTTTCCCTTCGAATCACAGCAGGGGTATGTATGTAACGACAAGCTTTAAAAGAGCAAAGTTCCCATTTCTTGTTTTTCTTACCTCAAGATAAATAGCCTCAGTAGCCCCAGTCACCTCTTGGTTTAGGCTTTTTCTTTTGAGAGTGTCCCAAATGGGCCGATGATGGGATGTGTCTGTCAGCTGGAGGGGGGATATTTGTGTGGAACTTTTGGTGGTCAATTGAAAGTACTGTCTTCTACACCTGTTCTCTTTTGTTTTTTGTCCATTTAGAGGGTGTAACAAAATAAAGTCCAAGGGCTTTCCCAGACGTTTCCATGAAGTGCCTTCTTCTGGGGAGAGAGGAAAGAAGGGGAGCAGGTGAGGGGCGGTCAAGCTTAAGGGGGGGTAGGGGTGTCTCTTTGGCTGGGATTGGCTTGCTGGATTTTTGTTTTGTTGCCATGGAGTTTAAAGTCTGCCGGACAGCAGAGTACTGAAACTCGCCTGTTCTGCCCAAACTCCCCAACGTAAAACTTGAAAATACCAATACAGCTTGCGGGTCGCTGGTCCTGGCTAAACTATGCCCTGTGTGTGCTTGCTTTGCTTTATTTTGTGGTTTGGGGATGCTTTCTTTTCTAGAATGGTACATACTGGGGGGATTCTGTGTTTGTGTATCTATATGTCTATTGCATTCATTTCCTCTCTAAGATTTTAGATATTTGCATGGTTCAGAGCTTTTCTAAAAAAATAAAATACATTGTGTGTGCACTTTAGCTGAGTGAAATATATCAGTGAAGTTAGATTTCTAAAAGTTAAATTAGGGATCAAGAGTAGGAAGGAGAGAAATGAGTAAATGTATTTTCAATAAGAAAGGTGAAAGTTGAAATCGTTTTAAACATGAAAGTACACCGGGCCTCCCCGGTGGCGCAGCAGTTGAGCGCTGGGTTGCGAAGCTGCCCGCTGCCTCTGTAGCGCCAGTTCGATCCCTGGCTGCTCCCCGGCCACTGGAGGAGGGTCCCACATGGCGCGCAGACCCCTCCTGCCGCCCGCTGCTCCCCTCAGCAGTGTATTTCTTCCTTCTGCCTGCTCTGCAACCCGCTCTGGCTCTGGTGAATTCTCTCACCCTCCCGCGCTTCTGACTGTGCCCAGTGCTTGTATAAATAAATAAAAATAAATCTTTAAAGAAAAAAAAAAGTACACCAATGTTACCTCAATTTAAAAAAATGAAAGCACATGAGTTCTAGATAGCTTGACTACTAAGGAGTATTGTTGTGAAATGAGTTATTATAAGGTCTAGGAGGCGTGAATATAACAATCTTGTCACCACACTGGAACCTCCTGATAATATTTCTGTGGGCTTATTTTAAGAAACTACTCAGTATGGTGATTAATGTTTTAGTACTAAAGTGCTAACTGGACTAATTTACTGGTTAATATTATGTTGTGAGTAGATCCTTACTACGTCCAATTCATAGATTTTTACATTAGAATTTTATGTCAAATGATTTCTCTTCATTGGCCATGGGTAAAGCAGCTTATTGAGATGAAATTTTAGATAATCATCCATTACAATCAGGTCTGCCAATGAGGTCTGTCCTGTGCAGTATAGGAATTGTGAAGGTTAATGAGAAAGTCCAAGATCTGTCCTCTTTTACATGGATGGTGCAATTTTGGCCTTGCAGGGAAAGGCAGTCAGTAACTGCTGATCCTGGTAATGTAATTACTCCTTCTGTGATCTCTTTTTACTTAATGGAAATCTTTCATGTCCTATCCATTTTTAAAACTGCAAAGATCTGTAAGATCTGACATGATAAACCCTCTGCACACTTTAGACTCAGATCTCAAGAAAGAGACAGACAGACAGATCTTGGCTTCACTTCAATTCCCAACTTCCATTCCCAGTCATTATAAATATGTGCTTTTGGCTATGACACTTGAAGAAGCTAGCTTCCCCTCGTGGATAGCACAAAGATAAATGTACTTCCACCTTCTAAGTCCTCTCTAGAAATGATACCGTATCTCGGTAGACTGTGATCAATTCTATTTTATGTAACTGCCCCTAAATATGGGAATGGGCTTATTATGGGTATATTTTAGATCCTAAGAGGCTGTATTTTTTTAATAAGGTACTAGTTTGTCTGGTTTCTTCTCTCCTTCTGAGTGCCAACAGCTTGGGGGAAGCACAGTCAGTTCCATCTGGGGCTAGAGTTGAGAGAGCATCTTAGGAAATTACAAGTATTTTTAGAATCCACCTGATTGTAAATCATGTCCTTTCTCTTTGCCTTATTGTATATGGTAACTAAGACAGACATTAGCTTGGGGAGGTGTGGGTTCTAACTGTCATTCTACCTTTCCTGACTGTGACCTTGAACAACTTACCAAAGCCCCCTGAGCCTCCATGTCCTCATCTGGAAATGTGTGTAATGTTAGTTGCTTTTTGTGGGGCTGTTGTGGAGAGTAAAGGAGAAAACACATGGAAAATATTTCATGTGTAAGATACATTTTTACCTGGTTGAGACAATGAGGAAACTGAGGCTCTGGGAGGTTACTTGGCTAGATGGCTGAGTTGGGATTAGCCCGGAGACCTGAGCAGTGACCTTCCCCTCACTGCTTGACATGAATTGCTAATATTCCATGCTGAAGAGATGAGTCAGATATAGAGCTTGTTCTCAGGGGCTCAGACTCTGCTCTTCTAAGCTGGCTGTCCTGCCATACTCATCCTCCAAGACCCTCACCTCCTCATTCCTCCTGAGGATTGCATGTATGAGACCACCTTCCCACTTCTCTATCTGCCCCCCACCCCATTCCCAGGAGCTTCTGCTGCAGCCTCCTGACCCAGTTCCATCTTCCTCCGCTCTTTTAAAAGCCCTTTGAGACAACAGGGCCCCTCCCTCTTCTGCCAGGTTGCTGCAGGGCAGAGTCACATCTCTCGCTCTGCCTCTTTCTCCCCGCTCTCCTAGCCTGCATCTCTATCGCGATGTGGAGGGGAATGCAACCTCCCAAGGAGAAATCCCGAAGAGCTGCCTAAATAGGAACCCTCCAGACAGTTAAAATTGCTGTTGCACAGCCCATGCACATTCACCCCAGGGCAGTATCTCCTCGCCCCTTTTTCTAACCTTGCTTACTTCAAACAGTCCTCGGATGGGGCTGTACAGACTAAGGGTGGACAGAACCACTTAAAGCAGGACGACAGCCATAAGAAATGATGGCGAATTATCTCCCCCGAAGGGAGAAGAAAAAACAATAAGAGGCAGGTGCAAGTTTTTAATTTCTCAATGAAGTTGTTTTAAATTTTAAGTAGGTAATACTTGACATGGCTCAAAAATCAAATTTTAAAATTATGTATCTATAACCCTAGATCTCTATCCCATCACCCACCCAGCCTGCACCCTGCCCCCTGAATATAGGGAACTAATTTGCACTAAATATAGCCCTAATTTGATGTTTATTGCTCCAGATTATTAAGTTTGCGTGTCAATGTGTATATACAAATATGACCCTACATCCCCTTATTACACAGCAGAATACAATATATAACTACAGTAACCTTGCTTTTGTCACTTAATATATTTCTCTGTGCATATGTGGTTACCTCATTCTTTTGTATGAGGCATTGTATTCTTTTGTATAGATGTGTCATCTCATTTAACCAGTCCCCTGTGACTGTCCCTTTGGTTGTTCCCGTGTGTGTGTGTGTGTGTGTGTGTGTGTTTTAATTTTTCATTGGCGAACCATTGCTTTACATGTTAGTGTTTTGACAGTATAAGATTTCCCCCTCGAGTGTAATCACTGGTGTCCTCCCACCCTCAAATCATCCATAATCCTTCATTATAGCCCATTGAGCTTTCCCCACACACACACATTCTTAGTCCCCCTCTGGAAATGGCAGATCTGTGGTCAGTTTTCAAGGGTTGTTTTTAATGTTTGTCTATAATATGGTGGCGAATAAGTTTGTGTGTCATTTTACCAGTGGATAAATACCTCTATAGGATAAATACCACAGATTGTCTTACAGTGTACGTTATATGAATTTGCAATTGTGGTGGCAGGTGCCAAATTGCTCCCTAGGGTGGGGCACTGACCCTTGCTTCCAGTGGCAAGGGGCCGTGGGTCTGTTTCGCTCCAGCTTCCCCTGTACAGCGTCTTGCCAAACTTAAGGATTTTTTTCCTTATGGAAAAAAGTGGTGTCTTATTGTTTTAATACATTTGCTCCTATCATAAGTGAGGATCAGCATATTTCATACATATATGTGCCATTTGTGTTTCTTTTCCTGCAAACTCTGAATCTGCAGCTCATTCTGCCTTTGTGTTGTTGGCCTTTTTCTAAGAGAGATCCCCTGTCAGCAGTGTGGGCTGCGAATGCTTTTCGCCCAATATTCCCTTTGCCTGTTAACTTTGTTTAGGCTCTTGCATTGACTTTCATGTCACATTTATCCATATATTCTTTTCTGGTTTCTGGATCATGAGCCAATATTAAAGAGCCCTCCACTCTGAGGTTACTTTAGGTATTTGTATGGTTTCAAATTTTAATATTAGATTCTTAGGTCATATGTGACACCACATTTTCCCACATTCCACGGTCCCACATATTTAGAAAGTCCTGGCATCTGAGATTCTTCAGTGAAGAAGCACATAATGTCTTGATAGGTCCTTAAGAGGTCACTCTTAGAGCAAAAATCAGACTGACTTAGTCAGTACATTAAGGAAATAAGTAGTTGCTAAAAGTTGCTTTACCAGACCATTTTACATTATCGATACTGAATCGTGCAGTAAATAAAACATGAATTTACATTTCCTATCTTTTTTGTCAAAACAAAGTAGATCATCAGATTCCCATTGTCCTTCCCAATCAATGGGGGAATTGTGTCAGTGCCTTAAAATAATGGGAGATGAGGTGGAGAGTCCTTAAGCCTCAACTCAAGAAAATCAGAAGGTCCCAGGCCAATCCTAAGTCTGAGACTGCTTCCTCACAGCCCCTAACTTCCAGCCTCCTTGTCTGGGGAATAGCCAGGAGCTGTGAGATGTTCTCTCCCAGGCTGAATCCCTTTGAAACTAGCTGCAATAAAAACTGCCCTGGTCAAGATTCTAGTCTTGTCAAAATGTGTATTATGCAGTGACCTTTGCTATCCTATCCTGGAAAGTATCATCAGCATTTCGGTCATCCCGGGGCATCTACAAGGACTTTTTTTGCAAATATAGCAGTTAGCAAGAAAGTATATTACCTTCAGACCACTTTTGTTCATTTTCTCTCACCATCCTAAGATGTTCATTGCAGACAATCTATATAAAAGCCTCACCGTAAGAAGCAGGTTTTTGTTGCTTCTAGCTGTAGTGGGAGTTGAATGGGACCGTCTACCACACATGTGAGATCCAAAATATTT